GAAGGGGCATCCAAATCTAATTGGTTAACTAGCTTGATCACCATGGTACGTCCAAAACAAACTTCTTATACATGAGCAATCAATAACTGCATACTCAGGACTCCTTGCAGCCGGTGGGGGTTGCAGAAAACAATTAATTCGACTTGCTTAAGAATTGACAGATAATAACGAGAGCATAAGAATATAATTAGCAGTTGGATTAAGAATTATTGCCCTAATTCTTAACTCAAATGTCGGCTCTGTCCTAGATCTAAGAACTCCCAAGTGCAGCTTCCTTTACAAAGGGAGCTTCTTACGATCATTTAGGTTCCCCTATAGTTGAAGGGCCAAACAGCGAATTATTTTTGGAGTTCATTCTTCCAAATTCCAACCAGCAGAGGATATTGTGACAAGATAGAACAAGCAACAGAAAAATACACATAATGTCCTGTAACTCCAGATGAAATCAAGTTGGATACAGATAAGATCGTAATCAAGATATTTAATTGGAACAACCCCCGGGAATAATAACAGGCTGAAGGCTGCTCTTCACATAAGATGATCATTCACAGAAATTTGGGATTCTTTCACAGTACTTCAAAATACAAAACGAAAACCCTATCCAACACTACGAACAGGCTAGCTTAGGGTTAAAACGGTACCTCAAAACTAAAAACAATCACGTAAATCAATAGACAAAAGCTCGAAGCAGATTCGTCAATAATTACCCACGACGACAGGAAATCAGCATTCAGAAATCAGAAGATGAGTAACTGGTCATCGTCATCAAAATCATCGATAAGGATTCCACACCCCGGCAATTCAGCCATTAAACAACCGAGAAGCAAGAGTTAATACCTTGATGGATCGAAGCAGATCATGTGAGGCGGGATTCTGCATCTTGCAGGGTGGAAGAATAGAATGTTGATTAGTTGGTGCGATTGAGCTGTGGCAAATTCTTGACATCCGGCGCCGAATCATATTAATGCCGCGACTGAGCCGCGTAAAGTCCGAAGCCGAATCCAGTTTTCCACCCGCCGGTGATGGAGTCAGGCTCTGCCCGGGTCGCCATGGCGTTATGAAGAAGAGAGATAAGGCGAGGTGGGCAGGGGAGATTAGAGAAGCATCTGCAACCACAACCACAACCACAAGGTTTGCAAGGAGACAGGGAGAATGGAGTGTCCGCAGTTACACAATTGGAAGTACCAAGGGGCCGGTCGGTCTAGGGTATATCTTCTTTTTGGGTGTATTAGTCTATTGTCTAATCGATTTATACTGTTCAGTTTAGTGAATAGTGTGCTTCGGACACGTATAAAACTGTTAGTTATTTTGATTTGGACAAAATATATAAGAGAGTAGGAATTACTAATACCAAATTAATTGTGTATTTATATAATCTATCTTAAAACAACTAGCATGGCTTATTTTTTTTGATGAAAGTGAAAATTTAATTAAAATAAAAGGTCTGAAACAACTGGGCACCAGAGGTGCCACCCGAAAACATGAACACAAAAGAAGAGAGGACGAAAAGAAGACCAACGAACAAACAGTGTCGAAACAAACTAGCATGGCTTATTGATTAAGTGTTTTCTGAGCAATTTTTAATTGAATATATTTTATCAATAAAATTGTTTAAGTCTTGACCATATGGTTTATGGATAATTATAGACTTATAGGCATTCCATTCCCATCTTCGAAGTTCTTTTATATGTCGTTTATATCATGATATTCTCATCACTCTAATGGAATAAAGAAAAAAACACTTAACATCCCATAATTTATACCATTTAAAATATTAAATTAGATCCAAGGATTATGAGTAAGTTGTGCTCCTTCATGAACACAGGCTATGCACCCTGCCAGCAGGGGCGGAGCCAGGACACCCCTAATTTTTGGGATAACGATTATTCAACCCCCGGTAGTAGTTTTCGTGTGGATAAAAATATAAGTGGTAGACTAGGTGATTTAAATTAGGATAATAAGATTATTAGTAAACATGTTTTTCATTAGACCACAACTCATTTGTTATTGTATTTTAAACACTAGTTTAATAGTAAAAATGATATTCCTTCTCCCAATTATTTTGAAAATCTAACAATTGAACCTGATTACGGTTTATCCTTATTCCCTCCATTCTATCATATCCATTGGTTTACTTGCTTCTCAAAGTAATTGATTTTACCGATTGCAACTGCAAGTGTTGAAATAACATATTTAGTTTTGGGAAACTTTAAGAACAAGTTTCGAAATTGATTAAATGATCAGTTTGTGAATGATTGTATAGTAAGATGGAGATATTTGTTGAGCAGTCCAGATACTGAGTATATTTTGTAACACGTCGTAGACTTTTATTGTAACTTGTATTGATTAGATATTTTCTAATTTAAAATTATTTAATTATTTATTTAATTTTTAAAAGAGGACAACCCTATATAAATTTCCTGACTCAGTCACTGCCTGCCAGATGTACGTGCATCAATCTTGTCAATAAGTTCAGTGAAGGTAGCTTTCGAAACTCTATCATGGATCACCCGAAAATCCAGGTACCGCCCCAAATTTTTGGTTTCAGGAACTCGATTGTTGCACTAAGAGTTGCTCCCAAACTAACATATATATTCTTGGAGAAGAAGACTCGTGATTTAGGCCGGCTTATATGTTGTCCTGAGGCTCCTCCGAACTCAGTATAGATTTTGTTAATCTCATTTGCCTACGCCACCATGGCTACACCGAGCAGGATATATAAGGTTGTCACCAAAAGAAGAGATGAGACAATTCCGGTCCTGAATTTGACATATTGACTAGTTTCCAGGTTCCTCCTTCCACCACTGTCCTGATTAAATGTCACAGTCGTTATACACAAAGAGTAAAGATGTATGACGATTAGGGCTGGGCATGCGGGCGGATCATCTGCGGGTTTGGGCCGACCCACCAGCATTGACCCGAATTTCGTTAAGTGGGTGGGTCTGTGGGTGGGTGACGGGTTGCGCTGGAAGCCATCCGCCGGGTGGTGGGTGGGTTGTGGGTGAGTGTGCGGGTGACCCGCTCAACCCAACAGCAAAAAAATCAAAGTCGTTGGCGCTAGAGAGAGGAGAGTGGAGACGTTAGATATAAACTCGGACTGTTCCTGGAGTTTGAACCTCAAAGCCAACCTTCCAAATAGAGATCCCCTCTTCTTCCCTTTACTTTTTCCTCTAATTCTTGTGCCTAGATCAACGCTCTTTCCTTTGTGGAATTATTTTCCTTAGTTCCTTGCATCTAATAATCGTCTCAATCTGTAGAAAACTCTTTCATAATAGAATTTCTATCCAATTTAAGAACTAATTCAACATTTTTCGCCCTATTTCAACTTCTGGTTTCTCTCGACGATTCTCTTCACCTATTATCATGTCTAGTTGACTCCTTTATATTATATAAATTGTGATGTGGGTGAACCCACAAACCCACCCGCATCATCCACCATCCGCCCGACCCAACCCGAGACTAAATGTGGGTGGGTGGTGGGTTAAAAATTATCAATCCGTTTAAGCGCGGGTGGGTGCATTTTATGGTCAAAATCCACCCGACCCACCCAATACCCACCCCTAATGACGATAGAGGGCAATTTTGTCTAAGGCCTTTTGAGGGTGACCCTTCTTCTACCATCTTTGATATGTGGGCTAGAGCAGTGACGGAACCACCTTATAGCAAGAAGGGGCTATAGTTCCTCTCAACTCTCAAAATCGTGTAAATTTATGTGTAAATTTTATAATTTGGAAAATGGATTAGGTTGTAAGGCTTTAACCTCCCTCCCCGGTTCAAACATCTCGAACGTAAATTTTTAGCCCCCTTCATTCAAATTTTTGGCTCTGCCATTGGACTAGAGTTTCTATCTTGTGGGGTTTGGGAGTCCTTCTGTTTGGAACTTTCATTAGGCTTCTTTTGGATTGATGAAGTCTACTATAGATGTCTAGTGCAAGATTTCCCCCCCCCCCCCCACTAATCACTTGTTAAACAAGATCATATGCAAATAAATCCAACTAGAAACAAATCATGGTAACAATGACCACAATGTTTTGATAAGAATTACTATTTACTAGTAGTAATGAAAATGCAAGCAAATTTCCTATATATTTCTGGTTTTTACCATATAATAATTTACATTACCTTCTGAATATACACAAATGAATGAAATATGAAAAGAAACAACAAATCAATCCAATAAGTAGGTTACTTAGTGGGAAATAAATTTTGCCATTTATCTTACCCTTGTTTTACCCCCTTCACTGGGTTTGGTTGCTCAAACTTTGTAATGAAACTAATCACTTGTTAAACAAGATCATATGCAAATAAATCCAACTAGAAACAAATCATGGTAACAATGACCACAATGTTTTGATAAGAATTACTATTTACTAGTAGTGCCGAAAATGCAAGCAAATTTTCTAAATATCTCCGTTTTTTACCATATAATAATTTATATTACCTTCTGAATATACACAAATGAATGAAATATGAAGAAAACAACAAATCAATCTAGTAAGTAGGTTACTTAGTGGGAAATAAATTTTGACATTTATCTGACCCTTGTTTTACCATGAGAGGAGAGGTAACTTGTTTCTCTTTTTGTCTTGCTTAGCTTTTTCAGGATAAGGTATCTCATATACCTTCCTTTCCCGTTCTTTTTGGCTAAGATCAAGGAGTAAGGTGTCTCATCATCCGTCCAATTCTAGATGATATCACTATCAGCATATATATATATATATATATATATATATATATATATATATATAATATAATATAATATAATAATTGAAAAGATTCATTGCATCACTATTAGCATTGTTTGTTATTAAGCAAAGTAAGAGAGATATGAGGATCAATATTTTAAGCAAATAAAATCATGTCACAGTCATTACTCATTACATTACTTGTGTTAGCTGGATTGGATCACTATACAGAACAGAACAGAACAGAACAGAAGAGAGAGACGCGCGACGGACCATTTCCCAAGGAGAGAATCATCACCCAAAAAAGAAGAAGAAATGAGCAGTCTTAGTGCAACCCCAAGCATCTCAATGAAAGCAAGGCTGCTGTTCAGCCTCCATTCCTTGGGCTTCGACCTTGCTCGGTTCCTCCGCCGCCGCGAATCCGGCATTAACCGCACCATCATGAAGCTCTTCGACCTTAAGTCCCCTCCTTGTTCATCCCAAATTAATGGAGCTGCCTCTTCCTTGGACGTCATGGTGGATCCCTCTCGAAACCTCTGGCTTCGCCTCTACAGGCCTTGGACGTCTGCTGCCACCCCGCTGCCGGTGATCATATACTTCCACGGCGGCGGGTTTTGCACGATGGGCGCCGACTCAAGATTCTACGACATCTTCTGCCGCTCGCTCGCCTCTGAAACCCCTGCCGTCGTCGTCTCCGTCAACTACCGGCTCGCCCCCGAGCACCGCTGTCCCAGCCAGTACGAGGACGGGTTCGACGCCGTCAAGTTCCTCGACGCCGTCATCAACTTGGACGGCGTGGACCTGGGCCGATGTTTCTTGGCCGGGGATAGCGCGGGAGGGAACCTAGCCCACCACGTGGCGGTCCGAGCTGCCGAATCGGAGGCGGCGCTGAAGCGCGTGAAGATCACGGGCTTGATCTCGATCCAGCCGTTTTTCGGCGGAGAGGAGAGGACGGAGTCGGAGATGAGGATGGTGGGAGTCCCCGTCATCAACATGGAAGCGACGGACTGGGCCTGGAGGTCGTTTCTGCCGGAGGGGTCGGACCGGAACCACCCGGCGGCCAATGTGTTGCGGTTGGATGTGTCCAAGGTCGTGGGTTTCCCGGCGGCGACGATGGTGGTTGTCGGAGGGTTCGATCCGCTGCAGGATCGGCAGAGGAGCTACCACGAGTGGCTGGTGGAATCGGGGAAGGAGGGAGTTGAGCTGTTGGAGTATCCGAATGCTGTTCATGCGTTTTATTTGATGCCTGACTTGCCTGAGACACCCATGTTGCTCGCAGATATCAGGGATTTCATCCAACGCCACGCTGCCCGCCCATTCAATTGATCCACTTTTAATTAATTAATTAATTTGCTTCATATCATGCTTAATTACAGAAGCCCTGCCTCTTGGAGAGGAGGGGCGGGTGAGGGTTTGGAGAAAAAATTCCCGACCGATTAAGGGTGACCATTTAGTTGCAATAACAATTTCTTTCCATCTTTATGGTATAGTAATAAATTGTTGTTTTTTTGTTTAAATTCAGTTCATTTCTTTTGTAGCTCTACAACGGAGAAATTTCTTGTCTTTTGTTTAAACAAAGCTGAAAGTGAAGAAGTACCCATTGAAGTTCACTTGTTTGTTTCACAAAATCAATTCCAAGATACTTCTGAGTTCTAATTTGCAATATTTGATGAATGGAAGTCTTGACTTGTGTGTACTGAACTCATTTGTTTGACGTTGTAACCGATGTACGTGAAACTATTTTAATGTAATTGTATGAATTTAGAGTATTGCGTTGTTGACTTTTTGTTTCATTTAAAGTTGACTTTTCTATTGTATAGATGATTTTTTATGATATGATAAAATAAAGACACCCCTTGGCCAATTTTTTTGGGCTCCGCCCACTGCTTGCCTCCTAGCTCCCTCAGCATTGATCAATTAAGTGATGATAAAATGCAAATATCTATATATTTTTGTTTTTATGATAATAATATTCATGAGATGGGATGTATACTTGGCAACCAACAAATCATAGGTTCATGAGGGCTCAGGTCTGTGTAAGAGGTTGCTAACGTAAGAGGCTAAGAGCAATAGTATGAATATTGTCGATCGGCTAACTCGACTAACTATACGATTGAATTTGACAGACAACTGCAGACAGCTACATATACCGGCCTACTTGTGCACTTACGGAGCTCGAAATTAGAGCTTACTTGCAATTGTACTTGTTTTGACGATGAACGTCAACCATAATTTGTGGCAATAATTATACATGCCCAAGGCGAGTGGTTGGCGTTACAGATCGACTTCCTTATGTTGCTGGCTGTCAATATATACTGTGTACACATGATGAGGACGGAGATGGGTCATTTGGAATTTTGGATAGGGTCAGTGCATGCGTAAAAGTACCGGTTAGTATAACAACATCCTTGTTTTGTTAGGGTGACAACTGTTAGAAGTTACTGGAGTTAATAGTAATTAACCACGTACACTTAAGTTAATTATCTTATTTTATTGATAGGGTTAGTGTGTTTGGACGGCAGCCAGAGGTATATAAGGTTGTGGCGGCCTCCTTTTGTATCCTAAGGATTCCGGTGAAATTAAATATATTGATTCCGAGAGGTTGCTACTCTCCGTGGATTAGTCTCAACGATATTCGTTGAGCATACCACGTTAATTCGGTGTTTTCTTTCTTTCGGTCTATAGTTTGACATGGTATCAGAGCCTCTCCAACGCCTTTCAAACTGATTTGGTGGTGTTGCGTTTTGGTGTTCTTGGTTCGGCGGGATTGCTCTTAAGTTCGGGTTTGTCTCTTCTGCTCTCGGTTTCTCTGGTTTTTCGATTCTTATTCTCACCATGGATGTCTCTAAGGTTGATGGTGTTTCTATTCGGTTCAATGGCAAGAACTTACCGTTATGGGAATTTCAGTTTCGCGTGTTCGTTCAAGGCCGCGGGCTGTCCGCAATTCTGGATGGTACTTCTGTGGCACCAGCTGAGACCGCGCCAGCGAAGGAACACGTTGACTGGGCCATCAACAACGCCCAAGTTATTACTTGGCTAGTGGCCTCGGTTGATCCCGCCATCGGTCTTAGTCTTCAGGGGTTTTCTAAAACTTATGAGATGTGGTGTCATCTTCGGGATCTTCATTCTCATGCTAGCGCTTCCGGGAAATTTGAGTTGGAATATGATATAGCTCGTTTACAGCAGGGTGATCCTGATGTTCGATCATATTATCAAAAGGCCCTCAATTTGTGGACTGAACAGGAATTGCTGACTACTTCCTTGGTGTCCGCTGTAGCTTCGGTGGAGGTGTTACAAGAACGCTACAGTTTGTGGTTGATGAATTTTCTGATGAAGCACCATCCCGAGTTTGAGGGCATTCGTGCCTCTTTGATCCATTGGAACGTGACAAAGTAGGAGGAAGTCTTGGATGAGCTTATCCGCGAGGTTGCGTAGTCAAGCCCAATTAGACGTCCATCAAGCTGAGTCCTCCTCCGCTTTTGCGGTTGCTTCAACTACCGTTGGTAAACCTGCTTCTTCTGAGTCCTCGGCGTTTGCTGTTTCTTCAGACCGCCCCAAATTCCAGCGTGTTTCTCTAACTGAGGTCATATGTTACCACTGTAAAGAACCTGGGCATGTCCAGTTACATTGTCTCAAGCAAAACTCTTGCAACTACTGCAAGGCTACCGTCACAAGATAGGGGACTTCCCTATTCTCGTCAAGCGTGGGCGTGCTCGTCCACCCAGTTTTGCCGGCTCTCGCCCTCCTCCTACTGGAACTGCTTATGCGACAACAGTCGCCCCACCTGCTGGTTCCTCCTATGCTGGCCCCGTTTCTCAGGATGATATTAATCGCATGGTTCAGCTCGCGATCAAAGAAGTCATTCCTTCTTCTCTTGGTTTTGTTTTCTCTACGGGTATTACTTCTTCCTCTCCCATGACTTGGCATCTTGATTCTGCGGCCTTTAATCATATGACCAACTCGCTTTCATCATTTCGTATTCTTCGTCAAGGTTCTTCGGTTACACTACAAGTGGTCGATGGCTCGTGCTTGCCTGCCTATGGCGTTGGCCACGTAGTTCACAAGGGGTTGCATCTCTCTGATGCGTTATACGTTCCCAAGATTCTTCCTAGCCTTGTGTCGGTGGGACAGTTAACAGAAGAGGGTTGTCGAATTATTTTTGACGCTCATGGTTGTCGTGTGTAGGAAATGAGCATGGGGAGGGAGGTCGGCTGCGGGACTAAGTTGGGTCGGGTCATCACGTTGGATAGTTACTCACGCCCGCAGGGAGGGAATGATTCCATGGTTCGGGGAGGTGGCGTGGTGGTTGTTCGACTCAAGGAAAAACCACTTTATTCTATCACTTTGTCTAATTGGGAGTTATGGCACCGTCAGTTAGGTCACTGAATAAACCACTTTAAGAAACGTTTTCTATCGGGTAGTTTTGATTCGGATTCTTTTTATGTTTGTGTTCATTGTGTGGAGGCTAAACTTTCTCAACAATCTTTTAGCCCGAGTACTACGGTTTATTCAGATCCTTTCGATTTAGTCCATACATATTTATGTGGGCCTTCTCACGTTAATTCTCGTGTGGGTTTCATATATTTTGCTCTGTTTGTTGATCATGCCACCAGGTTTGCTTGGGTCTATTTCCTACGACAGAAATCTAATTTGTTGAACGTTGCTAGAGAATTTTTTCAAATGATCCAAACTCAGTTCGGTCGTAGTGTGAAAATTCTTCGCTCGGATCCTGGTAGTGAGTTCACATCTGGTCCTTTACAGGAGGTGTTTAAAGAGCGGGGAATTCTCCCACATCAGTCTTGTCCCGACATATCTCAGCAGAATGAGCTAGTTGAGCGAACACATCGGCAAGTTCTAAAGCTAACTCGAGCACTCTTGTTTCAGCCCTGCATTCCATCTAACTTCTGGGTTGAGGCTGTTCATATGGTCGTATATCTTATTAATCGACAAATTATTCCGGTCTTGTCTCAACGGAGTCCTTTTGAATCCCTCTACAACAAATTACCCGACTACAGCAAGCTACGGGAGTTTGGGTGTGTATGCTATGTTCTCCTTCCGCGACGTGAACGCAATAAGCTTTCGCCAAAAGCGGCCAAATGTGCATTTGTTGGTTACAGTCCCAAACACAAGGGATATGCATGCTACGACGTTGCTCATCGTCGCACGCGAATCTCTTGTCATGTTGAATTCTTGGAAAACTTTATGTATTATAGCCATTCCGAGAAAGACCCTCGCCCGGACATGGATTTTTTGTTCCCCTCGAACATCTTTTCTGCTCGGCCCCCTCCTGCTGACCCTGGAACCGGTCCTTCCCCTCCTCCTGACTCTATGGACCTAGCACCGACTCCCTCTTCTCGAGTCTCTTCGGCCAGCGCGCACATCTCCAGCAGTCCAGTTGCTTCTTCCGCTTCATCATCCTCCCAAGAATCCTCCTTCGGCTCTGGCTCGCAACATGGCAGTTCTCTTCATCAGGGAGCTCTCTCCTCGACGACTGGTTCCTCGGATTCCTCATCCACAACAATCTCCCCTTATGATTCTTCGGGTCCTCTCTTGGTCGATGACGACGCTCTCCAACCTCGTCGTTCGTTGAGAGCCAACAAGGGAAAACGTCCCTCTCACCTCTATGACTTCGTGGCCTTTTCCACCCCGTCCATTCCCATTCTAGCGACATACAAACAGGCGCATGGGAATCTTTTTTGGGAAGATGCCATACAAGTCAAAACTCGAGCGCTTGAAGCTCAGGGAACGTGGGAAGTGGTGCCTTGCCCACGTGATCATCCAGTTTTGGGATCCAAGTGGGTTTACACGATCAAGGTCCATCCCGATGGGACTAGAGCACAGGTTGTAGCACAGGGGTTAAGATAGGAATTTGGCATCGACTATGAAGAAACCTTTGCACCGGTTGCCAAGATTCAAACGGTTCGTACCTTACTCGCAGTTGCTGCTATGTGTGGTTGGAGTTTGAGGCAACTTAATGTGAAGAATGCGTTTCTTCATGGTGATCTTAAAGAAACGGTCTATATGGAATGCCCTCCGGGCTATCTTTAGGGTGATAAATCTAAGGTCTGCTTGCTTCGCCGTTCCCTCTACGGTTTAAAACAGGCACCTTGTGCCTGGTTCAAGAAGTTTCATACTACTATCCTGCAGGCTGGATTTATACAGAGTGGCAATGATCCGATCGCTTTAGTTCCATTTAGTCTCCGGAAATATAAAAGATATGAGACTACTCCGCCAATTTATGTTTGTCCTTGAAAAGATACCACTTTTTCGCCAATTTTTTGGTGCTGCATTAGTCTCCTGGGTTTGTGAAAACTGAAAACCAAGGA